CCAGGACGCGTAGAGCCCCCCCCAAACTGCAGAGCCCCTCCCGGGACATCCAGATTTGTCCCCCCAGATCCAGAGGGCCCCTCCAGAGGTTCCCCCCAGGTCTGCAGAGCCCCCCTCAGACACGCAGGACCCCCCCAGGACCCGCAGAACCCCCCAGGTTCCTGCACCCCAGCGGCTCGGTGGGTTTTGTCCGATGTTTTGGGGATTCGGCATCGCAGCGGGCCCTGGCGCTGGAGGGGGGGTCGGGGGCAGGGGTCCCCCCCCATTTCCCCAGGACAGGTTGGCACACCGGGAAGCGGCACCCCCGGGATGCTGCTGTCGGGGATCGAGGGCAGGGGTCCCCCCGAATATCCCAGGGACAATCCCAGATGCGGCACCCCCGGGATGCTGACGGCAGAGAGGGAGCGGGGGGGACTCGGGGGTCCTTCCGAATATCCCCGGGGACAATCCACGATGCGGCACCTCCGCCCTAAAACACAAACCAGCCCATCCCAAACCTTCTTCCCTTGAAACCCCACCCCTGGGAGCCGCAGGGACACCCTGGGGATGCTCATCACCCGCCCACAGCCGCAGGGAGAGACCCCGGCCCGGCCCGCAGAGCCCGGGCCGAGAGCGGGGGGCTCTCCTGGAGGCTCTGGTCTCGCTCGCTGCCCCTGGCCCAGCTCCCAGTTCGCTTTGGGGACTGTTGATCTTGGCTCCGAGGACGCGTTGCTCCATCGGACAGCTGGTTAATGTGTAGTGACGGCTCCGCTGTGCCCGAGACCGTTGATCCCGGCCCGCGCTCTTATCTGAGCCGGGGACGAGCCGGGAGCGGCCGTGCGGGGCTGGGCCGGGGGGCGAGGGGGGAGCCGGGACCCCCCGGCTGGAGAGATCGCGTCTGCAGCCCCCCAGCACCTCCCAAAATTCGGCCTGATGCTCGCTGAGGCGTGGGGAAAATTAGCGAGAGAAATTAGCAAGAGAGCGCTTCCCGCAGCATCCCCGGTGGGAAAAGCGGAGCCCTCTGGAAAAGTGGGATGAAGCTCCGGGGCTGCGGAGCCAGTCCTGGAGCAGCCGGGGCTGAGTCACCGGCCCCAGAGCCCCACGGCCTCGGCGCTTTCCCACGGCTCCGGACTGGTGGGGCTGGATTTTCCCAGCCCAGCCGGCTCTCCCGGCTGCCCTGGGATGCCATCCCGGCCGGTTTCACCTCCGTGGGCAGCGCTGGGGGGCTCTGGAACCCCTCTGGAGTCACGTCCTTACCCGTGAGGGGCTCCTGGGGGGCTCGGCCCAGGAGCATCCCCCAGACAGTTTGGGATGGGGCCGTGGAGATGTCGCTAGATGATGTCCCCAGCCCACCCGCGCCCTTCTCCTCGCAAAACCACCACGCGGGGATTTGTCCCGTGGGAGAGCGGGGTCAGGGCTGGGATCAGGGCTGGAATCAGGGCTGGGATCAGGGCTGGGATCAGGGCTCGGCCGCCGCCCCAAACTGTCCCCGCCAGCCCCAGGCCGGGGCTTGGCCACATTTGCCTCCATCCTTGTGCAATCTGTCCCAGGTGCCCGGCGGCGAGGCGGGAGGGGACGGGCAGAGCCGCACGCACACACCGAGAGGAGAAAATCCAGGGAAAAACGCCTCCCAACCCCCCGGGAATGACCCTCGGAGCCAGAGGCCCCGAGAGCTTCGAGCTCTGTTGTCCCCGAGCTCCCGAATACCAGAGATTCCAGCCCTAAGCCGGCGGACCAGACCTGCGAGGCAGGATTAGCCGGTGCCCTCCGGCTGCTCCCGCTCCCGCCAGCAGCGGCGAAAACTCCGGCGAGGGAGAGAAGAAAAAAGTCTCTCTTGGGAAATTTAATTTTTTTTTATTTCTTCCTCTCCCTTTTTTTTTTTTTTTTTCCCTCTCCCTTGTTTTTTCCTAATTAGAAGGGAGCACTGACAGCGCTTGGTGGCTGCAGAGGCTCTGGGCTAATTACAGCTCCTGGCTTCCATCCCGTCCGTTTGTCCCCAGGCCCTCCACAGTCTGGCACTACAGGAGAACCTGGTTTGGTCGGGACACGGCGGAGGAGGCGGCTTTTTTCTCCGTGGAGCTTTGCTCTGTCTCTCTTTCTTCCTTTTTTATTTATTTATTTATTTATTTTAATATTTTTTTTTTTTCTGGATTCTTGCTGACAGCAGCATCTGTCACCTCCCAGCATCTCCCGTGCGGAGCAGCACCCGTGGAAAACACCCGGAGCCCTTTGCCAAGAACAAGCCCCGTGACCACCGCGGCCACCGAGACCCCCCCCATGGAGGTCCAGGAGGGCACCCAGTGACCCCGCGGCCACCCGGGATGGGAATTAAAGCTCAGAGGAGACAATCCCCTCCTCTTCCCTCCCGCGGAGCCGAGCAGCTCTGCTCCAGGAATAGTTTTATCCTGCCCCTGACCTTGCCGTGGCTCTGCCGGGGACAGTCACCCGCGGCCACACGCGGTGCCAGCAGCGAGGCCAGGCGGGAGGGGACGGCACTTTTGCCCTGTGGCACAGCTGGGCTTCTCCTGCCGTCCCGCTGCGGTGGCCTCGGGGTGTCCCCAGCGTGGCACGGCCGCTCTGGCTCCAATCCCACCCATCCCGGCTGCAAATCCCGCACGGAGCCTCCTCGCCAAACCGTGGGCTCCGGCCCTTCCCTCGCTGTGGGGCGGACGGGACTTTCCTCCCAGCGCCCCGCCAGGATTCCACAAAATCCTGAAACATTCCCTGGAGCAGGTCCCAGCGCCGAGGTGCCCCCATCCCGCAGCCCGCCCGTGTCCCCGTGTCTGTCCCCGTGTCTGTCCCCGTGTCCCCCGAGGCTCCGCACCCCGCCGGGGCGCTGCGAGCTGGCAGGATGGAGCAGGGCGGCAGCTGCCCGAACCCCCCGCGCGGCTCCAGCTGTTTCCAGCTGTTTCCAGCTGTTCCCTTGCCTCCCTTTCCTTCCCCGGGGCTCTGCAGCACAATGCGGCCCCGCGGCAGCCCCGGATGAACCCGGGCTCGGCAGCGCTGGGTTTTTGTAATGATGTGCTGAGAGCTGTCTGTACTTTCTCCCTGCCCCAGTTCGTGCCGCCGGCTCCTCCAGGTCTCAGTGAATCCCTGTTCCCTCCCCGGAATCCCTGTTCTCTCCCTGAAATCCCTGTTCCCCCCCTGAAATCCCTGTTCCCCCCCTGAAATCCCTGTTCTCTCCCTGAAATCCCTGCTCTCCCTGAAATCCCTGTTCTCTCCCTGAAATCCCTGCTCTCCCTGAAATCCCTGTTCTCTCCCTGAAATCCCTGCTCTCCCTGAAATCCCTGTTCTCTCCCTGAAATCCCTGCTCTCCCTGAAATCCCTGTTCTCTCCCTGAAATCCCTGTTCTCCCTGAAATTCCTGTTCTCTCCCTGAAATCCCTGTTCCCCCCCTGAAATCCCTGTTCTCTCCCTGAAATCCCTGTTCCCCCCCTGAAATCCCTGTTCTCTCCCTGAAATCCCTGCTCTCTCCCTCGAGCCCCTTCTCCCCTCTCGAACCCCTTCTCACCACCTCGAATCCTATTCCCCTCCTCAAATCCCATCTCCCTCTCTTGAATTCCCGCTCCTTCCCTCAAATCCTTGCTCCCCGCACCTTGAATTTCTACTCCTAAAATCAATTTTCCCTCCTCAAATCCCTTTTTCTTCCTGAAATCCCCATTCCCTCCTCGAATCCAACTCCCTTCCTCAAATCCCTGCTCACTCTCCACTCCCTGCTCACTCCCTCCCTGGCTCAGCACTAACTTAGCATTTTAAAAAGCAAAATACCACTCCTAACAGAAATAAATCTCGTTGGGGAAGGAATGGGATTAAATAAAAAAAAAAAGATCAATCCCAGTTTCCAGTGGTGGAAGGCTAAGAATGATTCCAAACCTCCTCCTTAAAACGAGGCTGATTGCGGCACCCCCAAACCTTTCACAGCTCTTTTGGAGGACTGAGATTAATTAAATCCGTATTTAACACCCTGTGGAGCCAGCGGATGAGTTCCTGGATCCAAACTCCAGAGCTGGGCTGGGGCTGCCACCCCAAAAGTGGGAAAAGCCGCTGGAATTTTTCACCCTTCTTTTTTTTTTTTTTTTCCGTATAAAAACCTTTATTGTGGGTTTTAAAGCTTGCTGTCGGTGATTGTCACACGCCCATCCCTCAGCACCTACTCAGGACAGCTATTTCCCTGGAATTCTGCTCCCTGCATTGTGTGCAAGGCTTTTCCAGCTGGATTCCTTACGGAGCATCTTCCAGGAGACCCCAGAGTGAGCTGGGGGGAGCCCCAAAAGAGCTGCGGGACCTTGGGGTCTTCCTACCCAAGAAATTCAGATTTTTTCTTAAAAAATTTATAGGATGTGAGGCTGGCCACAAAGGGTTTTCCCGGGAGGGTTATCCTGGAAGTCCTGCAACAGCCAGGATTGACCTGGATGATGCATTTCAAGCTCGAGGAAGAAGAGGAGGAGGAGGAAGAAGAAGAGGAGGAGGAGGAAGAGGAAGAAAGTCGTTGTAGGTTCAAGGCGGGGAGAAAACAAACCCCACGCTGCTGCCTGGACAAGCCTGGTGGACAGGAAACCTCCCTGC